TGGCGCGCCAGGGCCTTGAAAAAGGAGAGGGGGGGGGGGGGGGGGCAGAAGCAAAAAGGGGTGGAATGCAGGGGAGCGGAGACGAGCGCGGAGAGTCAAAATACACAGAGATGAACTAAATCCTGGTGTAGCGTCAACGCAAAAGATACTAAGAGTATTGGATACATACGAGGCGTAGGCGGTGTCGTTGGCGTGTTGTGCCGTGATGGACCGGAACTCACGATTGTACGGCACCGTATCTGCGAGGCTTGCCAAGTGCCGGTGTTTCGGGGTTTAGTCGTAAAGCATATTGCAAAGGCCATGTCAAGGCGTGGGATGGTGTGTTGCATTCAGCAGCGGAAAAAACCATATGCTCGTCCTCTCGTCGTGAGCGGAATCATGCGGAATCATGCAGCATGACCAAGTTGGCCAACGCACGGCGCTTGCAGACACCACATGACGGCATTCAAACAGGCCATAGTTGGGACTGTTGTCCGCCGTTTGTTATTTCTTGAGCACAATGCGACGCAATGTCATCAGCGTCTATCCATGAAAGGCCTGAACCCCTGGCGGTAACATCCAACTCACCAAGTGCGGGCTCCCCTATTTTTACACTCGGCGGGAACCTCCAATGACAGCGCAAGGTTGCCTCGTAAGGGGAAATCGGCATGCTAACGATTCAGGGGTGCCACCGGCCGCTCTGTTGGTTGGGCCGGACATCTCTTGGGAAAAGGAAAATGAGTTGGTGGCTTGCATCGTGCGTGGGCGAGACAGTGCGAGAACAGTGTGAAAGAGCCTCCGGATACGGAGCGCGGAATAGCATCTTGCCGTGACGTTGAGTGATTTCATTGTTGGAAAACGGCCTTGGTGCAGCGATGCTGTTGCGCACTGCTGGTGAATGATGGCGATACCTACTCTGAATTAGATGGCAGGAGTCGAAGCGTGCCACCCTTTGACTCAGATTCTACCATCACGTTCCATGTCCAGGGTAGCCAAGCACCAGATGCAACTCTGTGTCGGCAAAACGCATTGATTAAAATGCATACGGAGTAGTCCCGTGGGACTAATGCAGAGAGCCCAAGTCTTTTCCTATTGCCGTACGTGATTTGTGATTATTGTGCCGAGTAATGCGTATTGTTGTGCTCAACCACAGCTGTGTCAGGCAGCCCACGCGCGAAGACAACCCAGCAAGATATGCAAATATTCTTCGTTGCCCATGAAATAGAGCACTTACACAACCACACAACCATAATCTCCTTCCTCGACATCAGTCTTTGCCATTCTATATGTAGCACCCTCACAACAACGTGCATCCCAAGCAGCATTCTACCCTTACAAAAGTTACAATTCTACCCACCCGCCAACTCTACCGTACGCAAATCATCGATCTATATATCCCAGCGCCCTAAACGCATTATCCAAAATCTCCAGCACCACCTTCTCCTTCCTCGCGGTATACTCCATCATCGACTCGCCCTTCTCCCTCGACTCCCTGGCCGACACCCTCTTGATCTCAGCATACCTCTCCCTGTCGCCCGCATTACCCGTCAGCCACTCTTTAAAGATCCTATGCCTCTCGACCTCCGGGCAATCCGGTCCAAAGACATGCAAATTCACCGGCGTCGGGTCCCATCCCATCCCGAACAGTCTGTGCTCGTGCCACCTCTCGCGCAGCAGGAATACGAACCCCGCGGACTCGAGCTGGGGCACGTACGAATCCTCATCGCCAATGTCCCTCACCGTGAGATCAATGTCGATGATGTTCTTGGCAGGCAGTCCGGGGACGCTGGTGGAACCGGTGTGTGCAACGGCGAGTGCGGTGTCGCCCAGAGCATCCTTGATGCGCGCCTTGAGCTGTTCGAACTGCTGCGGCCAGGTGGGATCTGGCTCCACGATTTCAAGTATGTTTGCAAGCTTGCGCGTGGCGATGCGCTCTACGCCGTTGGGGTCCTCTTCGATGCGGGTGACGATTTGCTGCGGCGTGAGGGGCATTTTTGAGCAACAGGTTGAGAATCAGATGGTGACGTTTTCCCCCCCTTCCTCTCACGCACTTGCGGGAGTGCGAAATAGTCCAATTTGTATTCCCATGGCTCGGTTGGATCCTGACCGTCCTTTACTCGCGCCGGCTCGTAATTCGTTATTTTTGAGCCTCGCACCATCCGTTCTACGTCAAGCGGTGTTAGTGAGAGCCACTTCCGCTGCGTGGCGCTGTCAGACTTGCCGGTGAGTCATTTTGCCGGGCGACCGATCCATAAACGACCACTAGTGATGCCTGCCAGCTGGCACTTGGTGCCAGGCCTGCTCAGCCAACCAAAATGATATTCTGTCAGCAGCACAAGTGAAATGCCCTCGCTGTCATTTTAAGCACAAGGATCTATGATTTACATGCAGAAAAGTCCAGCCTTGTGCATAAAATGCTGAGAAAGCATAAGCGTCTGCAGAAGATCGGGGGAGGCTTGGAGTTTACCCATCGGTCGTACGGTTGCTCACGATGCAGATAGACCCACGTAAGCAAGGCAACACATACAGCACAACAATCACGAGAATCAAGATACTTGGAATATTTCAGATATCGATTTTTTTTAAAAAAAAAAGAAAAGAGAAGAAAGGAAAAGAAAAAAAAATACAAATGAAAGAGACTCCTACCTCCAATGCCGTCGTGTAAGTGATTTGCTGTGTTCTCCACTTTGCCGGCGATTATCCGCTCATGAACCCAGACGTCGCTCATGGCTTTGACGACAATTCACACTCAAGCTTATCATCGGACTTTGCGCATATTTGGCCAAAGCATCATGAGCCAACCTGAAAAGGGCCTCCAAAGGGGGCATAGCAAGAACAAGTCGTCTGTTTCGCGCTGTGAGTCCCAGCTGCACCCTCCACTCAGCAGTCTGCGTCATCCGCTTCAACACCAACACCACGCAACCATCATGTCTTCTTCATCACGCCCTCATCACAGCTTATCGACCCAGCGTCAATCACACACCAAAACTAACAACCAACAGCTTCGCGACCGCGATCCTCTACTAAGGGGCCCCTCGATTCAGACGAGCAAGCTCATCCCACCCCGCCTCCCAACCATCACCAGCTAACCACCCTCCAAGCAGTTCTCCATTAAGCTCACCACCAAGACCACAGCCTGAACTCCTCAAAGCCCAGCTCCCCCAACGCACAAAATCCCAGAACCGTCAATCAACCAGCTCCCCTATCCCTCAAGTAGGCGAATCCCGCCCCAAGGACTTCTCATTCCTTCTCCGCCCCGAGATCTACCATCCTCTCACGCCGCTCAACGTCCCAGTCGCATTCCGCAATTCCCCAAAGCAGCCTGATCCTGCGACGCCCCTAGAACAACTTCTCGCAAGGGGACACTTTCGCGCCGCAGCCATCGCGTCCGTCCAGGAACTAACTGGCTCTGGGGCCCGCGGAGCCGTAGACCCGACTGATTCACAGCGCATCTTCACCCTCCTCTACACCCGGCTTGTTTGCCTGACGCTTATCGACGCCACCCCGCTGGCAGCTCAAGAAGTGAAAGCGCTGGAAGATTTAAGCAATGTACGGACCTACGTCGATGACAAGACGGGCGAACACCTCGTTCCCTGGGAACTGCGGGTGCTTAACGTGCGATTGCAGGCTCTTGGATTCGGGGACCCACGACGGGCCGTCATGAGTTATCACGACTTGGCGAGAGAGGCGCGTGAGAACATTGGCAGAGCTATGGCAAAGCACGATAATTCCTCAAGTGAGCTGTGGAAAGCCCGTCTTCATGAATTGGGAGTCAAGGTTGCGGGTGCGCTCATCGACATGGATGATCTTTCCGGGGCCGCTCACCATCTGAAGAGTCTGAGAGACAAAGGCGACGGCAAGAACGCGCTGTCAAAGGCCCTTCTGTGGCTGCACATCGGTGATGTGGACAAGGCGCGAGACTGCGCGGCACAGTGTTCCAGCAATGCAGCCGAGACAGAGAAGCTCATCCTGGCCCTATGCGAAATGGCAGACGGCGATTATGAATCTGCCTTGACGAGATGGCAGGGCCTGCGGGAAGACATGCCTGACGACGAGATGGTTGGCGTCAACACGGCAGTTTGTCTGTTATATATTGGCCGGATGCAAGAGGCACGTATGCATCCAAGGCGCATCGTCGAAAAATTCTGTGCTAACTGTATCAGGGGCGCGATATCCTCGAAGGCCTGATCGAGTCGGGCTTCTCATCACACACCCTGCTGTTCAACCTGTCCACCATGTACGAACTATGCACTGAAAAGCACCGCAATCTCAAGATGAAGCTCGCAGAGCGGGTGGCAGGGATGGACGAGTCGCCGGCAGGATGGGAAAAGTTGAACACCGACTTTAAGCTATAAGTGATGTAAATACCGCCAACCGTCGCAACATGCCGGCAAGTGTGCTCTTGTTGCGCAAATTCTACGGCCTCAAGTTATCTCGAATCTGCCGCACATCGTCCTCACCAAAGCCCAGCCTCTCCCCCAAATACCCCTCGGCACCATCATACCGTGCCTTCAATCCCTCCACAAAATCCACCATGATCTCAGCACGGCTGCCCAGTATCTCCCGCACCCCGGGGACCTTCAACCCATCCTGCACCGTGGAACCCTCACCACCGTCCTCCAGTGCAATACCCGCAAAGCCCAAAATAGCAGCAGGTAGTTAGCATCTTTGCCCTAAACGGCTCGGTTCCGACACGCGTAAGAGCATACTCCTCAGCAATGACGGGCACGGGCGCACCCATAAGGTCCAAAACGAGAGCGCTCATGACGCCGGTCCGATCTTTGCCCCCCTGCAGGCCGGTCTGTTTTGCAAATCACTTGCCAATGTAACCCGAGCGCACCACTCACCCATGCAGTGGAAAAGAACGGCGTGATTCCTGTCCGCGCTCTTCAACGCCTCAAACACCTTCCTGTAGCCCGCCGTGTACCCTTCCACAATAACGCTGTATGTACATATCCCTATACCGCAGCTGACAACTTCTCCGTCCCGGGGCACAAACGCTGCTAAATCGACATCGACGTTGTCTACTTGGCCGTCCTTGAACGGACACGAAACTACTTGTTTGCCGTTGACGTCGCAGAGCCCTCTCTTGACTTCATCTCTGCGTCGAAAGTCAAAGACGGTCGAGTCGCCGAGCTGGCTGCGGAACAAGCTGCGGGAGGCTTCCGGGATAAAGTCCAGGGTGCTGGAGCGCTAGACGAGACCCAGTCTGATGTATCCCGGTGCGTAGGTGCCTACGTCACGGATGTTCAAGGATCTGGGAAGAATGATGAACGGGGGTTTGGCAAGGAGTTTGGGGTCTGTCATTTTTCGCTGGGGTCCGGATTTTTTTTTTTTTAAACTGTGACGGATAACTGAGCTTGTTGTATGTTTTCTCACAAGAAGAGTACTGAACATATTTTATCCCAGGACATTTGTACTCGTAGAGGGAGCGTGGAGAGGCTTGTTCATCAGCACGGCGACAATACCGCGAAAGCGACGTCCCCGCCGCACGGGCTCAACATCATCAGCAGCCCATAGCCCCCATCTTGGGATTCTGTTCCTGAGTTAGGCGTCCAAGTCTTGTTCTACCGTGATTTGCTTGTGGTGCCCGCTACGACTCTATCTCCTTGGCGAGCATGACGGCCATCGTCGTGTGCTGCCAACGGACTCGCGGCTAGTCACCCGTACTGGAGTGCCGAATCGGGGTGTCAAGACCCCAAAGGCGGAGATGCTGTCATTCTGTACCTCAGCAAAAAAAAAAAAAAATAACCATTTCAAAATGTAGGTATAAGCATTGCAGTTCAACAAGAAATGCTTTTAAATTGAAAATCAAAAATATGTCGACAAGAGTGTGATTCGAACACACGCGGGCGAACCCAAAAGCTTTCGAGGCTTTCGCCTTAACCACTCGGCCATCTTGCCCTACCGGTCCGCCCGCCTAATGAGCATTACAAAACTGAGTGCGGGTGCTAAGCCGTCGGGGGACCAAATTCCCACATTGAGGCGGCGTATCGACTTCTACATTCATCAAGACTACCTACGTGACAAAGGATAAGTCGAGGCGGTATGCCTTGAATTGTCTCAAATATGGTACTACTGCGATGCTGGCTGATAGTCAGGTGGAAATGCTCGGTGAGCCAGCCGTCTGGGGGACACAAGAAACGGATTGGATCCCCAGCGATGCATTTATATGGAAAGTTGTTAATGAGCAGCTTTTCGCAAACTGGCTCCGCATTGCAGGGGGGTTGTCAACATCTGCTGCTCTCAATTTGACGTGCCACCAAAAACAGCGAAACCCATGTCATGTAAGTCTGAAGGGATTAATCTACCAGGTCTTGCTACTGCAATTCTCTCTCTCTCTCTATAATATTTCTTGTTGACCCACCAGTCAAACAGAATCCTCGAGTAGTTCCACTCCCAAAAGAAGCCGCGTAGGTACAGTGGGAGGCAAAAAGTATTCGACTAGGTGAGGTACCTATCAATCGCGCCCGATACTATAATACACTACAGTATATTAGTGTATACTTCTTTGTTGGCAAATATATTCCGCCACAGGTTGAGGTACTTGACTGGGGGAGCTTCAACTCAGGCCAGGAACATGAAATGTTGGCTGAAAACCTCCAGTCTGGGGTATAAAATACATTTAACCCCCCCTTGCAGGTGCTTAAGCGACGGACACTATTTCCTCCAAGGCCGTACATTGATACACATTTGGAAATATTGGCAGGAGGAGTGCGTCTGTCCCGTAATGACTACGGAAAATGAACGGAGACAAGAATCTCGCAAGAACTAGGTCCAATATGCAAAAAGCGGAATAGTACGAATGCCCAGACTAGGTAGACGGTACCGACGCAGAAGACGTGTAGTAAGGAACAAATTTGAAGCCCCAGTTCGTCCCGTTTAAAAATCGTTGCCAGGGTCCCTTCATCGCGAGAATTAACCCTCTTTGCAAAGCCATGATCGGAACCAGCGTCTATTCTCACACGCTTAAACTAGTAATTATGGTCTCTGCTTTATTTCGCCTCTGCCTCGCGGCCCTCGCGCCTCTTGCGACGGGCCATCTGCCTCTATTAAAGCACCTCGAGGCCAGAGGCGATCCTTATCCGTGTTTTTTGCACGCCGGCCATTAACGCGAATTGCGTCATTGGCGGCCGGTATCTCGTGCCCATCATTGAATTTCTCCAACCACGCGGCCGGGGCGACTGCGCGTATAACAAATACCTCCCCAACTATTCCATACACGCTCAACAAGTGAAACCACGGGCAGTGGCCGCAAGTCTGCAACAAATGGGCCGTCTACGCCGATCGATTCCAAGCAGCAGACCTTATCGTCTACAACGTCACGTGCCCCCGATCAATGCGGTAGTTCGCCGTGGGTGATGTGCTTCCGCAGAAAGCCCGGCCGGCCCATCGACCAAGTGGCCAAGGCGAGAGGCATTGCTGTCGCAAAAGTAGTGAATTTGGTGGTGAGGCGGTAGCTGTGGTGTAGACACCACGGGGAGGCGGTGGGTGTACTCGGTTATCCCGCGACCCTCATTTTTGTACTTGAGATTACAGCGAACCCCTACTAATATGGCGGTGTTTTACACGGACAAATTTGTTTACCGCCATCTGTTTGTGGGCGTCTACAGTTGGTGGGCGCCGCCGACTCATGCTGTCTGTAGGTTGCGAGCCGGACATGATCTGCATGTCGTCGTCTCATGGGCATCGATTCGCACCAATAGTCCATCGCAAAGCGTTCTCACATTTATCCAAGTGTGAAAATAGGCCACGTTGCCCAAGTAAATTTAGCCGCTGTATCCAGTCACGAGCAAGGCGTCAAAGGGGGCCAGCACTCGACATCACTCGTAAAACCCGTTGGGCCATACAACTGACCAAAGACCAACAAACAGCCACTTCAATTTACGCAGCTCACCCCAACTTGCATTACTTGGACTATCATAAAAGCTATTTACGTGGTCTGTTGCGGTTCTCTGGCTTGGGTGCGGCGGCCACATTGTGTCACCTGATGTAGTGCTGGCACTATCATTTGTATAAGAACAAAAATAATAAACGATAAAGGTAAAAACTAAAAATTGGACCCAGTAACCATAAAAGCCATCATGGTGATAAACGTGATACCAGTATATAGACCCGTCGGCAGAGCCGGCTACCACCGCCATCGGACCCTGGCCCCGTCCAAAGCCGGTGCGGGGCCGCCGGCTTCGTTCGACCTCGGCACTTACATCGAACCTCGCTCCATGCGCGCGCTTCATAAAGCCCATCCACACTCCCATCTCGTCCTCCAAGTGTTGCCAACTGCAGCTCGTATCCCTCCCATTTCAACCCCAAAAGTAAATATATAGAACGTAACCCCAGCGCGCGTCACACCCCCTTCAAAAAAAAAAATTATGACGGACCGCGTCGCCCAAATCTCCCAACACCTCAACTACCCGCGCGGCCTGCTCGCCAACCAAGTTGCCATCGTCACCGGCAGCGGCCAAGGCATCGGCGCCGAAACAGCCAGACTGTTCGCCAACGAAGGCGCCAAGGTTGTCGTCACCGACATTGACGCCGGTATGTCTTCCACACTCCCCCCCCCCGCCCCATCATCACCCCCACCCAACAGGCACTCCA